CCTTCCAGTCCCTGTAGGACCCATCTTTCCCCCTGAGAGCCTGGAGTAAAATAGACTTCACTCCTCTTGCATCCCTCCCTCCATTCTCAGCCAGACTCCAGCAAAATCAGAGCAACCTCTAGGACCCTCAAACTGTATTTCCCAAAAGACTACATGCACAGTCATCACTGTGCCCATTGGAAACTCATTCAGGTTCTGTGGTCAGCCCCAGTCTGCTCAGCATGAAACAGTTCGAGGGTCTTTAAAATTCCATTTCTTGTGCTTAAACCAGGGCTCCCTCCCCAAAGGCCAGCAAAATAATTGCAAAAGCCCCATTCTTCCTTGGCTGGCATCCCCAGTGGCAACAGCCCAGCCAGGGCTGAGCATGACCCCTACCACTGCCTTCTTCCCCCAGCCCCATGGAACAAAAGCTGGAGCAGGTGAGGTCACTGAGCCCATACTGCTCTCACGATGGGACCCCAGCACAAGCTCACCACGCCCTGTTGATCACACTTTACACTGTACTCCATGCTATGTGCCAAGTACGATGACTCAAGCAGTTCCTACCTTCAGAGGGCTGCTCATCAAAATAAGGAAAACAAAACAGAGGCCCCATTAACAAGGCCAGCCTCATCCCAGACAGCCAACCCTGAGGGGCTGCCAGGTCTCTGGATGCACCTTCTTCTTATCTCACGTTAGTTGATCCTCCCAGTTTTCTTTCTCCTCAGACGTGAGGTCACCCAACATCACAAACACACCTGGGGCTGTTCAGGGCCCTTCTTGCCACTTCCTCTGAAGCCAGATTATATGTAGCTTTACCCGGTCTCCAGGCACCAACCAGCAAGCCCGGAAAGTTCCTTTACCACAGGGCCTGCCTCGCTGGGTGTGCAATAGGGCTCTCAGAGGGAGTGGTCTGGCTGATGACCACTTCCCTGGGCCTTGCCCTCCACCACCCATCTCTGCTTCCTGAGCCAGGCCCCCAGGAAACCGCCCACCGCAGATTCTGACAGCAGGCTTTGAGATCAGGCTCCTCCCTTTGAGGTCCTGGTTCCAGCTGAGAGGGGAAGAGACTCCTCACACAGGCTGGGTGGGAGCAGAGCTGAGCAGAGTCCAGCCAGACTCTGAGCACTCAGTGTGTGTCCATTCTTTTGCTCAAAATGCTGGTCCACAGTGGACCCTTGTTGAAACTTTTCCTGGGGCCGCTCTGAGCCTCCATCAGAATCCTCTTGCACCTCTGCAGGCTCTCCTATAACAGCTCCACCCACCATCTTCCCAGCTTTCCCCTGCCCTTCCCTCATTTTCACCACCCCTTTCTCTCCACTCTGAGCATAATTAATCTACAGGACGCTGTGGGCGGGACAGATAGCCTTCCCAGCTGTGAGGCAGACGAGCAAGGTCAGGGATGAAGGTGTGATTCATCAGGCTGGTTGGAAGCAAGGGGAATTCCAGAGCAGGGGAGGCTCAGGGATGCCCCCAGCTCACCCGTCAGCAGGAGAAGCAGCGTACACACCTGGGAGTCCCACATCCTCAACCATCCGGAGTCTGGGATAGGGTACAGTCTCATGACTAGAAAGTCTGCACTAACTAGAGTTTCCACTTTCACCTCCCTCTCATTTCCCACCTGCCTAATACCTGAAATGGAAAGCTTTTCATCTAGAGTCTTTAGCTATGGCATTAAATGTTGGCCCATCCCTGCAGAATTTGGTTGGGAAAATAATGAAATAAAAGACTATCACTTATTGAATACCCCATAGGCTCTGCTAAGCATTTAACACATGTTAGCTCATTGTTCTGTCTCACAAAACTGTAGGTATGATGACTAACTTCATTTTACGGGTGAGAAACACAGGCTCAAAAGAGTTTAGCAATGCAGGACTAGTCAGCGATCAAGCCCAGATCTGAACTCCTGGTGCGTGCAGTTCCAAATCCCTCCTCCTCAGTGCCACGGTGAGTTGCTTGAACTGGGTTTCAAGAAAAGGAAATCAGAGATGAAGAGAAATTCCTCCTTCAGGCATCATCAAATATCCCTTCTTCAGGATGCTTCCCAGGTCACCCCATCTAAAAGACCACCTCACCCCCTCCTTGACAATTCATATCCACCTTCCCCATCATATTTCTCTGCTTATCATTAACTTGCCTTCCATTTCAATTGTCTACCTCACTTATTGTCAGCTTCCCCTACTAAAAATCAGCTCCATGAGGACAATGATTGTCCTATATTTTGCTCACTGTTGTGTCCCCTGCATCCAGCCTTCCTATATAGTAGGTGCCCCCCACCAAAAGAAAACTGTTGAATAAATGAATGAATACTTTAAAACAGAACTAAGAGGTGGTGTGTAGGAAGAAAAGGAGGATGATCTATCTGTTCAGGGAAGAAAAGAGAGATGAGAAAAGACGGTGAGAGAATCTGGCCTGGGGCAAGTGAGAGGCCCCAGATGGGACCTACAAGAGGAAATGAAGGTCGGCCAGGTCCCCTGTGGACTCCAGGAAAGCCTTCCTGCTGGCAGAAGTGAATTCCAGCTGCCAGGGCCTCAGCCTGAGGGCTTCTGCTGTGGAGGGCGGGCTTGCAACCCTGAGACAAAGGCCTATGGACATGCAGCTGGCCAGAGAGGCTGGACTGCGCCACGGACTGGGCTAGAGGGGCAGCCTGGGGTGGGGAGGAAGGGGGCAAATGAGGAGCTGAAGACAGCCCTCAGTGCAGCTGCAAAGGCCACACCCTCCCCAGCACAGAGTCCCCTCAACCCCCAGCACAACAGGGAACAGCTAAGTGGCTTCACAATTAACCCTCCAGGGGCAGTGCTCAGCTGGGCTTGTAGCAACCCCCAGGCTTGGAACCAGAGTCTTCAGAAGGTTCCGAGAGGGGAGTGGAGGTGAAGGGGCAAGCCACACATCTGGAACACAGTTCTTCTCTCCTGCCCCGGGTCATCCCTCAGGCCATGGCCTTTGGCCATCTCCAGTGTAAACACAGTGACTCTGGGATAGCTGTGGATTTGGTAAGGCAAATATTTACCCTGGAGCTAAGATATTACAGGCCACGGGTGTAAATGTCCACCACTGGCTCCCAGTATCTACTATCTCCTTGTGGCACACATGGGACGTATCAAGCAAATTGCAAAGCTCGTGAGGGCCCCTCCCAGCCACAGTGAGCCCTTTATTTCCTATAGAAGTTGATGCAGAACTTTCCCACGTACCTGGCTTCCTTTGATCCCTATCACCACCTCTATAAGGAAGGGCAGGCAAGTACTCAGCCCTACTCAGGTGGAAACTGGGTTAGAAAAGATACATGATTTGCCCAGGTCATGTGGAGAAAAGCATGGATTAGAGTGAGGAAATCTGAGTTCGGGTCCCTATTTGGCCAACAGGAACCAGGCTCAAAACCCCTCACATCTCTGGACTCTGCTGCCTTCGTGTATAAATGAAATAGCGCTCATCTGAGGTGCCTTCCAGCCCAAGCAACTCTACCAATCTTTGACGCCATTCAGTCAGGACTAAAACTCAGGAAAAATCCTGTGCTGGACTCCCAGGCCAATGCTCTTTCTGCTCTCCTTCATATACCACTTCTAATAAAAGGTAGTAGAGAAGCCCTCAAGGCAGCTGTTAAGCAAATAACTCCCTCTGCTTCTAGGACTTGGTCTACCCCATGCCCACTCCCTGCCCCATCCCCAGAGCAAAGTACCCAGGAAGCCAAGGGGTTGCCCAGACTTCTGGGAAGAAAGTGAGAGACAGTGGAGGCAGAAGGAGCATTAACAGCAGGAAATGAGATGAGGCATCCCAGGACCACAGAGAAGAGGATGAATAACACAGAGAAGGGGTACAACTTTTTTGGGTTCTTATGCCCTAGGTCTTCTGCTGGAAATGGCTGGGGTGAAGTCACTCTCAGCTAAGGAACTCAGGATTCCACTCCCAGTCCACCAAAGGAGAGGCTGGAAAGATACTTTCCTGAAGGGAGGCAGGCTCAGTGGGAAGCCCTCCCAGCTGTCATTACTCTCCCTGCTTATTATTTCTTGAGCAAAGTCTGTGTGACTGGGCTGTGTGCAGAGGCAGGTCTGAGGAGACTCTGGGAACCCCCAGGTCTAGCGTTCCAGGCTGCCGGTCCAGGGTTCCCTCTAGGGTGATGCAGTCTAGGTCTCCTCCTGGGAGCTCCAGAGCAGGAGAAGGCCCCTTCACCCGCCAACAGCTTAGCGAGTGACCTCAAGGATGAAACTCTTACGGCGGCCTGTAACACCGCCCCACCCCGGGCCACACCCCTCCAGCCTCCCACCATTACATTTCCCACTCCGCTCTTCCTTTTGTTTTCAAAAGCAGCTCCAAAGAGTAAAAGTAGCTACCTAAAAACGTCTTGAAATTTTCAAGTTTGCACGCCTTCTCCTAGCTTCCCAAACCAAAGTACTGAGACTAGGGAGAAAGTTAACCAGAACGATTTCGGGATTGGGGGAAGTCGAGACCAACAGTGGCAGGTAGTGGCCTCTGTACTTGTCGGCTCCCCGACACCTCCTATATGGCACCCACTCTAATCCCTCCAGGACGCGAGCTGAGATTCCCAGAGCCAGTACCGTGTGGCACCAACCCGGAACAGGCTGCTGGCGCCTCTCGGGCTCCCAGGACCAGAGGCTCGGGCCCCTCCCCAGAAGAGGCCACCTTGCCCAGGCCCACAGTCCGAAGCAAGGTCCAGCCCTCGGGCAATCGAGCGCGCAGTGGGCGCAGCCTCGCGGGCTTCCCGGGTTTCAAAATGACCCTCTGGGAGCCACCGGGCGCGTTCGCTCTTGCGTTTCCGGGGTGGGGGCTAAAGGACAGAAAATGTCTCCTGCACAAGCCTCCCGCGCTCCAGCCCTCAGCCGGGAGGGTGGCCCTGTGAGGAGCCCTCGCGGTCCCCGGCACCACTCTACCGCCCGGGGAGGTCCTCACTACGCTGGGAGTTGGCGCGGGTGACTGGGAGGGTGGGGGCTTAAAAACCACTCCGGGCACTGCCGTTTCGCCCGCTGCACTGGCAGAGGGCGTGGAGAGAACCGAGGGACACTCACCGTGCAGTGGCCGTCCCGCCCGGTCCGGAACGCACGGCGCGCGAAGCCGCCCAGGTGCCGCCGCAACGCGGGCGCGAGTTTGAAAGTCGCTCTGGGAAGGGGCCGAGGCTGCCGGCCGCTCCCGCCCAC